AGTCACTTTATCGGGGTGAAACTGGATAAAAGGAGGATTGGCTCGAAGAGCGGCGAGTTCACTAGCCCGTTTGACTGATGTGATTGCAACAAGGAAGGCCGATTTAAGAGTCAGGAATTTGAGGTCGATGGACGCCATGGGCTTGAATGGAGGCCGCATCAAGGCATTAAGAACCAGCTGCAGTGACCACTGGGGGGTGATACGTTGTTGAGGAGGGCGAATGTTGTTGAGCCCTTTGAGGAACTTCTTGACAGTTGGGTGAGAAAACAACTTGGAGGAGGGAGAATCATCGGGCTAGTGAGCCATAATGGCTGAAAGATAGACCTTTAATGTGGACTGTGAAAGGCCAAAACTGAAGAGATAGAGGAGATAAGTGAGCACAGTCTTCAAAGAGACAGGTATAGCATGTAAGTTATTGTCCCGAGTATACTTTAAGAAAGACTTCCATTTATTTTCGTATGGAAGGGTAGTGGAAGGTTTTCGGGCTCGAAGAAGAACCTGCATCACGTCGGGAGTATCCTCCATGCCGCAAGACTGAGAGAGGTGATGTCTGGGTGAAGAACGAGGCCGTGGTCGAGCGAGAGGAGATCTGGGCGGAGAGGAAGGAGGAACATGTCTGACGACATCGAGACCAGGTGTCACAGATGGACGATTACTCTCTGGATTAGAGGCAGAGGGGGAAATACGTAAAGGAGATCTCAACACCAGTCCATCAGGAATGCGTCTCCCAGAGAGTTGGTGTCCCGTCCTGCTCTGGAGCAGAATTGGGGACATTTCTTGTTGGCATCGGCTGCAAAGAGGTCTAGTGAGGGAGTGCCTCATTGTCGGCACAGGTGCTGAAAGATGACATCATTCAGAGTCCATTCGTGTATTCTCATAGGTAGCCGACTGAGCCAGTCTGCCAAGGTGTTGTCGGTGGAGATGTGGATGGCAATAGGGAAAACATGGTGGGAATAGCACCACTCCCAGAGGTTGACAGCTAGGTAGAGCAGAGAAGGGGAGTGGGTAC